TCTCATTTGCCATGTAAATAGCTGGCGTTTACTATTACTTTCCGAAACATTTTTTTGGGTATTTTGCGTCAATGTTTTTGCTCTTTAAAAAACCAGAGTCTTCTATTAAATATTAACAAAAAGTGCACTTATTTCACAATAAAGAACGCATTGTTTATCAAAAGACAATCAAGAGCTATCTGCCGCGATACACTTGAAAGTTGCAATGGAAAAATTCCACATTGGTAAACAAATGAATTTAGAAAAGTTATCTTCACTTTTTCAGAGCAAATCTGCTATCGTCCTCAAAAAATACCTAAAAAGCTATTAATGAATTGGTAAACAATGATAAATGAATGCACATTTGTAAAAAATCGCTCAAAGTTTGTGTTTTTTCTTGGAAATTTTTCGACTTTGACTTAAACATTATTGTTTGAGAAAAAGTTAATAAAATTACTTAATAATTTGGGTGAAATTTAATTTAGGCGTATGCTTGACCAGTCTACTTCAGATTTTAGATATTATATAAACATGTTATCTATTTTATGATTTTTATGGTTCCTTTTCCAACGTTATTGAAGAATTCCATTAAATTTTGTGGTAATTATCAAATCCAAGTTGAAAAATATGTGAGCTGTGAAATTCTTTGTTTTTTACGTATGATTTTTAATTCTTTTGTTTAATGGCTTTGATTTTTTTCCTAGATAAAATTGATCACACTGGCAAGGAATTTTGTAAATTACACTTTTTGGATTTAAAATTTTGTCATTGCTTTTCAAATTTTAATTCCAATTCTTTTTTCAGTTTTTAAAGTGTCCTAATATTGAATTTGTTACCTGCGTGTTTAATTCTATCAGAAATCCCCGGAATAAATGAAAAAAAAAGGTTTCTAATGGGCTCATTTTGATTTTGTTGCAATTCGGGATTTTAAATTTTATTAAAACATTTGTTTTTTAATTTGTCTAAAATTAAAAACTTCCTTTATGACTTAATTTTTCTTCGGAACATTATATTTATTTCAAATTTAGTTTGTTTTATCATATAAACTTTTACAATGCCTTTTTTACTATTATCGGGTGATTTGAGTTAAAATTCAAAAATATATTTGTATGAGTATGTTTTCTGTATACCAAAGTTTCGAAATTTAAAAAAAAATTCTCCATTAGTAAATCAAGAGAAGGAATTGGTTTTGTTCTTTTTCAACAGTTAATTTAAATGCTGTTTCTTTATTGGTTTAAATTCGTCACTATTTATGAAGTTAGTTTCAAAAATGCAGATATTCAGCATGCAAAAGAACCATCATTTGTAATTACTAAAAAAATGTAAATAAAGTGAAATATTAATGAATTTATCAGGATATTCAGTTTCAAAGATAATTGGCACTTTTTAAATAATAAAGAAAACAGGTGGAGTTTTTCATGGTTACTGGCCTCAACTGCAAAAAATGCTTCGACAAATACTTCATAGTTCCATTTTATCCGAATTTCTATTGGTTGAGCGAGCTTCATGTAGTAATTTTCAGCCTTTTTAGACTGAAACCTTCAGGTGCAAGACCAGCTCAAGCATTTACCAACACTGACTAATTAACAATAAGAACATAAGAGATTCTTGTAAAATGCAGCTTAATTGGTTTTTGCTATTATTTACATTGATAGTTTTTCGATTCATATTTATCGTTCCTCTCTTATGAGCCTTGAAAACTTCCTATTTTCACTTAATTCACTTAAATAAATCGAGATTTGGAAACAATGGAAGAAAATCCCTAACCTAACTTATTTAAAACATTAACAACTGCAAACGCTTTCTCTTCTTTAATATTCTTCTGACTGTTCCCCATTTTAAATTTTTAGCTCTTTCTGCATGTTCAGCCAGTTGTTGTCGACTTTCAAGTGATTGACTTTCATTCAAGACAAGTTTTTAAATGTGGTTGCCCTTGAGGTCAAGCCTTCCAATTGCGCCAAAATAATCAGCTCTTCTTCATTAATTCCCTGTTATCACCAAGCCAGCAAAAATCAGAAGAAAATATGGCATTTGATGCTAGTTTTAATGGGCTTTTAGATGCACCCGAAATCTACCTACCGTTTCCTATTGCTTCAGTTTGGAAGTTACACCTTAAACAGTTCAAGTGAAACGAGGTGATCCATGAACATAGTCAGTCCATGGTTTATGTAGTTCTATTGCGAAAGAATTCCCCAGTATTGTCACAAGCCTCTCTGGAATCCGAAATCTTCGCGGTCAAACTGTCTTAGCAAGATAAATGCGCATTCATTCATTTGCCGGTGCCATATTTCAAGGTTTGCACAAACCAGACTGAAATGCACATATTCATATGAAATCTTAATGCCTTTTCAGTTAGTTAGAGCATCTATTAAGAGCTTTTGTAAAGGAATTATAGATTTTTTCAAGTGTAAAATGTTGCTGTTCACATGCTCTAGTTAGTTTTTTTTCTGCCTTTTTTTGTGCTTTCTCCGTTCTGTTTATGTATATGCACCTTTCATTCTTAACTAGATTGCGACAGGATTTCCAAGGATTTGTGTCTGTATCTCAAATTGCTTCTGGATTTTTTAGAGACATGTTCAACCTCGGTTTAATCTTCGTTTTTACCTCTTTATTCTAGTCGTCACTTCCATACCCGACGATGTTTATTCTTCAGCAACTTTTAAAACATTCAGCATTAAAAATTTTTCGTTCTGCTGAAATATTAAACACCAGGGCAAATTAAACTTGTTGCGAAATATAGAAATGAAAAGGCTGACTAATGCATCGACATAAACGCAAGCAAAAGAATATGACTAAATTGAGGTGCAACTTACTGGTAGGAGCTCAAATAAGATAATCTGGAGAGTCATTAAAGGTCTGGAAAAAGTCCCCCAAGAATCGGTTTGAATACCTCACATAGCACAAGACTTTCTTATAGCCGAGAAAACACATTCGCAAAAAGTCAGGATTGGGAATCATTGCTGATGCTAACGTACAACTCAATGATAATTCATGCAAGTACTAAGCAAACACGTAAATAATCAAATCCCCATACGAACTGTTCTAGGAAAAAACAACAAATAAGCAAAAACTTAATGATTAATGACAGTAAAGTTTGGCAACAATTTGTTACATGGCTCTTAATTAATTAAACTATTTAAAAATTAGTTGAAAATTACGAGATTTGAAGTCGAATTCGGGATACAAACGATTGGGAAACAAGCTGATTTTAGAACAACTAACAGTTTCCATAAATTGCCTTATAACATCAAGAGTCTAAGATGTTTGCAAAAATTGTTTCGTCCTCCTTGGGCCCCAGCTCTCAAGCCCAAAGTGAGGTGTTAATTTTAACACGAAAGTATTGGCCAAAAAATTTCAAAATTAGATCAGAGCCGGTTACAATATTTTCCATTTTATTAAATGTAATTTTAATTTATTGACTTAGTTTTCAAAGCAATTGGACGATACTAGCTCTGTAACGCGATAAACCACTAGTTTTAGCCACCAACCACCAAAGGTCGACAGAATAAAGCAAAAGAAGAGCTTAAAGCAATAGGGTGTTTTCACTTTTTTTTAAATGTTGATATATAGAAAGTAGTTATGGCAACCATAACACTGATATAAATTTTTTGGCAAAAAAAGTCTCTGTAATAATTTTAAAGCAAATTTAAATTCAAATCAGATATTTTCCGCCAAAAAGCCGAATCCGTATCGTCGGTTGCCTATCCCGATTGTGACGTAGMAGGTCATATCAACAAAGTGTCTCGAGCTTATTTTGTTGTTTTCGCAGCTTWATTTTATTATTTAAGTTATTGTGATTMTCATTATTTTATTGATTAATACTATTATCTTGCATAATGGAAAATACTGACATGTRTGGATCACAAAATAAGTGGTGTTTTGTTCCWGGATGCAAGATTACCTCAATAAGTGCTCCAAACAAACTCTTTCTAACCGTTCCTCATGACTATGCACGTAAAGTTTTCTGSTTCAAAGCAGCTAGACGTGATATTCATAAATCCAAATCAATGTTTTTTTGTTACGAAGATCATTTTAATGAAAGTACGAACAAAAAGCTAATGATGAGGCAGATAGAATATGCCTTCGATAGTACTTTGTGTTCTGGGCAAATTCTACCTTGTACAGTGCACAAAGAACCCTCGTGTTTCAATTCCACATATCTGATATCACCATATTGTTCTCGTTATGCCCAAAATACAAATTTAAGAGTTCATTTGAGGTTAAGTTGAATAAGTGAAATTCTATATATTATTTTTCTAATTTAAGCCAATACAGACAGATTAGTGTATTAAGGAGAGATTAACTAATAATTAATTTACGGATTTTTACTTACGCTGCTGCTTTGACACCTAAAGTAAAGCACATTCGGCTGAATTAAAGCGTTGGTCGTTTTTTTTTTAATTCGGTAACCATAAAAATATGTACACATGGTAAATTGTTTGTTGACGCTTTAAGGAATCCTTCTGAAGCGATTTTTTAGTTTAACACCAACTATAAATTATTTAAATCCACAAAATAATTATTGAGACAGAACCACCCAACTAAACACTATGCACAGAACGTAAAAAATACGCCATTTATATGACCAGAGACGACACAACCAATAGGATTTCCGTTTTAGAGATTCATAAATAATTTTAATTTTAGCTGAATTTGTTTATTAAATATTTAACAAATTAGCAATAGATAGATAGTATAAGCTTGTTTAATTTTTCATAGATATATATATATATTACCATAGATTATTGTTCAGTTTGCAGGGATTTTTGATACAATGAAAACACCCTATTTCCCCTGGCCACTGCCCAACCAAGTCCCATTCAGTTCATCCTAATCCTACTAAACCAACCTGGTTTGGCCTATGAAAAAACCAGTTTGGCTGCTAATTTCATACAAATCTCAGAGTTCTCCAGATCAATGGACCGTCTAACATTCCCTGTCTTCTAAACCAAAAATTCCACCAAATTCGTGAACTATTAGGAGTCCGCACTGTTGAAAACGTTGCTCTCTGTTTGTTTCAGTCGTTTTTCGGAAGAACCTACAACAACACTGGCTCAATAAGCGAATGCAAGAATAATGGAAACTGCGTCATCAACAAGAAGAACCGGACCGCCTGCAAAGCATGCCGCCTGCACAAGTGTGTGCAGGTGGGCATGTCCAAAAGCGGTTCCAGATATGGAAGACGCTCCAACTGGTTCAAGATCCACTGTTTATTGCAGGTAAACAGTCCCGTGCTTTAGGCAGGGGTTTATTTATTGTTCGACTGTTGTTGTTTGCAGCAACAGCAGCAGCATCAGCAACAGCATCAGCAACAGCAGCTGCAACAGCCGTCCCATCATTCACCTTTTTTGCCCAGACAGCTGGATGTTACTGCCAATTTGGCGGCGGCTGCTGGGCTTTTGCGTCCCAATCCGTATCTTAGTCCGTTGTTTCGAAATCCTGGTTCCGTCAACATCCCCGGGCACCATCAAGTGCTGCGAGATACTGCCTCAAACTGCGAGTCAGATTCGGGAGCCAGTTCAGCTGACCTGGAGGATGAAGTTAGATCTGGAAGTGCGCTGAGTTATCGCCGACCCACTGGGTCGCCCCTCAGCGACCGTTTGAGTAGTGATACTGATTGCTTCTCGAGAAGCCACAGGACTTTGAATCATAACAACAACAATAACAACCATTTGAAGGCATTGCCTTTGGGCTCTCCAATTCGACCTCAGCTGCCTCATGCTCCTAGCATATCGCCGGCTTCTCTGCCAGCGATTTCTCCCAATGCGCCAGTGCCTCCTTCGCCTAATAGTTTAGCGGTAGTTCCTAACCAGCGATGGTTTCCGCCTCCTGTAATCAGCGAGCATGCCATATTTAGGGAATTGTGGTTGCGTGGACAACCCACTATTTCGGAACAATCAGCTGCTAACCAGGAGCAACCAATCGATTTGAGTGTCAAGCAGTGTAAGAAAATTGAGGTCACTGTGAACGATAAAGCTGGAAAGCTGGAAGGTGATGGGGAGAAGGTGGAAGGAGAGTCCAAAGTGGGAGTGCCTTTAGACCTAACCTTAGCTGAGCGCTAGCTTGAGCACCAATGAGGTATTTATGAACTTTCAACAGCACGGCACATTTCACATGAGTTGGTTAGGGTTTTTCTGCATATTGCAGTTGATGTGACTTTCCAGCTAAGACTCTAGCGGCTAGGGTCCAATGGATCCCCTAGGAATTGTACTTATAATGATGTAACGAGTGTGATTTTAATACGTCCAGGCAGTCTTGCACTGTTGCATGAGAGCAACAGTGGGGCTGCACATTTACATTTTGTACATATCATGTAAAATGACTATTTATTTTTTATACAGTGTATTACAAGTACTTAATTGCCAGTATCCGTCCAGTATTGATGATGTTTACTATCCGAGCTAGTACAGGGTGGTCCAAATTGGTTGTTTTTGACCGTGTGATGATTTTTGCACCCAGTGCTTTTCAAAAATGAGTTAGAGTGTAAAAACATATACAAAAATATTCAAATTAAATCGAAACTATTGATAACTTTCTTATTGGTAACCATATCTTGAATGTTTTCTGGCGCCCTGATCTGGAGGAAACGGCAAAGCGTTTTGACAGTGGAAGTTCAGCTCTCCTCAAGCATCCTCAATGTATTTTTGGAATTTGTCCCGTTTTTTCTACTACTAACAGCTTTTTCTGTTCAATTAAAATTATTTAGAAAATTTTTTGTTTAAAAAGTTGAGTTGATTTTTTAGATTAATTTACCGAGTGCCTGGAATGAAAACATCGAGAATTAGCATGAATATTAATTTTTTTTGTTATTACGGATTTATTGATATTCTAAACAAAGAAAATATTTTTTTTGTTAGTTTGCCTTTATTTGGGAAACGTATTCTGCTCCTAAAGTCTGATGTCGGTCATGTTGCAATTTTTTATTCAAATTTATATTTCTCAAACTTTAGTTTGCTGGCTAAAAAAGTTTTGCTATTCACACAATTTTAACTTTGTAAAATACAATTATAATCTAATGTATGTACATGTAATAATTTTCTGATCTGTTCGATTTGCAATCATATTGCGATAAAAAGCCTAGAAAATTGCGACAAAATCAATTAAAATACATAGATGATTCGAAAAGTAGAAAGAATAAATAAGCTTTTTCTAAGGAAAAGTAGAAGGAATTACAACAGCAAACTGTTGCAAGAAAATTACAATCTTAAAAAAAAGGTCTAATTAAATGTAATTTAAATGCAAACACATGCATTTTAATAATTCAATGTAGTGACCAAAATGTCATAATTTTCAAGTGATTTGTTCAAGCAAAAAACAATTTTTCAGAATTTCAGATTTCCGGTCACTCCTTTAGGCGCACTCTGTATGTTTCGAAGTCCAAAGGTTGCAAATAGTGTCGACTGAATTCAAACAGTTTAGAATTCAAAAGACGTACAAGAAACTCCAGATTATGAACATTAGCAATTTTAATTAGACTGTAAGACCGAGTGGTACCTTGCTCGAAAAATATCGCAAAAATGAATGGTTTTTCTTAATATTTCGAAACAAAATTCTCTCTTGTTTAACTTTTAGGAAACACTCCATTCGGTCACATAATGACCAATTTGGCCTGTACTATTTACAATTAGTGCCCTTTTGTATGTGAATTTAGGTGTTTTCCCAGGTGAATCGCCTATTCGAACTATGGCCAGAATTTAGAAGAAGACAACCTTCTGTATATAGCTGATGTTAATCTATATATTTACACATAGACTTACTGAATTTTACATCGTTTTCATTGTGATCGTTTAGGAATTGAACAGTTGACACTGTTTTGGAGTTAATCAAGAAGCACTTAGTTAATCTCGCGCATTATTGATGTACTTGCATAAAACGCTTCTTGACTTACAAAAAACATTCTCAGCTTTTTATGTTAAATTATCTCCTCTTCATAGGCGTTCAAGTTTGCAAAGTTCCGTTAAAGTGATCGACGCCTATGGATTGGCCAGTACCGCCTCTTAGACAAACTTCTTGTGAGTAGAACTCAAACCATACTTTTAGTATTATTTTGGCCAGTAATAATGAGCCCGACATTGTTTTATACATATTTTTATATAAAATATTGATGCTTTTTTATCGAATAAATGTTTTGTTTTATTGTTTTGGTTTTGATTTGGCCCCCCCAACAGTCCGGCCGGAAGTAATGGTGATCCATATTTTGTAATCGCAATGGGTGACTAACCATTTAGAATCGAAAATTGAGCCAAATTGTTTAAAACAGCAGGATGCGTCAAGGATAAATGTTGTCATACAGTGGCGTAGTTCATTGTTGGGCTCTGTGCTTTGTTCCGGCCAGAAATATTATTAACGTTAAAACCAGTCGATTTTGGTTTTGATTTCGTTCTACGCAACTTTCTTTTTATCTCTACTTGATTTAAGGGCCACAATGTTTTTTTTAATCGAACGGATATTCAGACAGTTTAATCATAGACGGAAACTAAATCTTCTGGTTAAAAAAGTCAGTCAGTTTTGGATTTTCTTTTAACCTACTTTCAGTCTTTTTCGCCTTTCTTATTCCTTTTTCTGCCTGATTTCATGTTTCAATCGAAAGGCTATGAAATCAGTCTGTATTTATAAACACTCCGTAAGAATACAGCGAAAATAATTATTTAATGTTAACTAATAATGTTGCAAAACATGAATATTTAATTAACATTTATCAGTATCAGCAAACAATTAATGAGAGTGGTCACAATTCCACATTTACGGCATAAGGTGCGTAACATGTGTGCTTTAAGCATGCGATCGAACAATATATTGAATTTAAATATTTTTGTAATTTGTAAAAGCTGGTGGAAAGGCCACGTTTTAATCAACGAAAAGAATAAGAGTGGGACTATTTATCTGGCGAATTAGAAGGAAAAACAGGGTGTGATTTTTTATGATTTAAGTTATGCAGAAGTGATCTTATACATGATGGAAGCGACAGTTATTTCTGTAAATATTTGTTAAAACGTGGAAGATGATGATCCGTCGCTTGCTGATATAACGAATTACTGGACAAATTAAGAAGCAATTAAATTCGTAAGTGAAGTAAAAATATGATAAATTTTTAGTGGTGGATTTTATGTTTAAATAAAATTCTGTTTCTGGCCAAAAAGCTCTGATATAGAGCGCAAAAGATTATTGTCGAACTATCAAAGTGTCTCTTAAAAATCGTAGAATATCTGGGAAAGACCTGGAGTTTGGATCGGAAGAAATATGCAAAAAAAGGATGCAATTAGCGTGTCATTGAATTTCCATTTGAAGATCGGATTTAGTATCCAAGAATGGCGATTCCTTCGAAATTTTCCAGGAATGCACAAACACACAAGATCAATGTCAGTCAGATTTTATTCTTCAGTTAAAACTTAGCCAAATAAGCAGCTCATGTTATTGTTATAAGGGCGTTGTTAAAGATTTTTAAGGGTTTTATAAGCTATGGCCGTATTGAAAGCCTTAATTTTTTCGATAAAAATCGATCAAATCAAATACAAAAAATGTCATAATGAAACATTACAACGGAAACATCGAGTAACAAACAATCCAGTTTGTTGAAATTGTTTTGGCGCGTTAGATCAAATGTGTAGTTAGTGATTTAATGGTGCTCTTCGAAACCGAAATATTTTTTTGGATGCTATAAATAGGTCAAACCTGCCGCGTCCAATATGTTAAAGAACCAATCATGATTGGAAGGAGCAATAAATAACTTCAAATTTATTATTGGTTTGCAAATAATACTGTTTATAGCAAGAAGGATTTTTACTATTTGGTCTCGATAATACAAGTTTTCACTCCGAAGATATCCGGGCTTGGAAATTGCAGAAATAGAGCAGACAACTATGCTCAGAAGCTTGTTAATGGGCCTTCAATTCAGAGCAAAGGTTTGCAAATTCAGAGGTGCGTAAGTTTAAAATTTCAACTTTTTATGTGGCAAAACACACACTGGTCAGTTAAGCAAAAGTTCTCTTTGGAAAGACTATTTTCCTATGGAAAAATATTGTTGATGTATTCGTAAAGCCGACAAATATTTTAAGTTCTTATTCTTTCTCATTTTTGCATCTGAACATCTGCAGCAATTAATCAACCCATGAATGAAGCTTTTGCATAGTGTTTGCAAAAAAATACATTTTTAAGACTTGGCTATTGGTTTGTTTCCAATCAAAGAATGTTTGCAAGGTTCCCTTATCTAAAGAAACCAAACAAACCTGAACAAATCACTATTTCAACGCAGAGGAATTTATAAGCATATTACAATGTTTGGAGTTTCGATCATTAAAAGTGTCCCCACACCAATAGGAACCATATATCCAGAGCAGGCGGATTTTGTGCCATTTTCGCAAATAACATTTTTTACTCGGTTTTTCTACCTCTACAATTTAATTTCATACTGCATTTTTTTCTAAATTTCGATGTTTTGGTGCGTGATATTTATTATTGTTTAGCGACTTTTGTATATTTCCAGTCCCTTCTTGTCAAATTTACTTTAGCCATTAGAACAATTGTGCTTAAAGAAAAAGATACAGCACTATAAGTGAAGCAAATCCCTCAAAACTATACAATATTTTTGTGATTGAGAATATCAAAATTGTACCCTGAAGAAATATAAAACTCCACAAACTTTGGTTTTGTTATGAAACCATTTGAGGAATGGGCAATTTTAGGAGAGCAATCGGGTCTTGGCAATCTTGGAATCTCACATGATCCTAAAGCTCGTGCAAAGCACTCGGACTCTCAATGATCCTTCTGCGACTTAAAAAAAAGTGTTTTTTTGTCCAGATCCGCCACTGCTGTTAATAAACAATGGCCAAATCGATGGGTGTGCTGCTCCATGAATTGGTGCGTAAAGTGTGCTTTGTTGTAGGTCATTGTTTCCTGAGAACGAAAGCGAATCGTTAATTGATGTTTTCGATGTTGAACAGTTGAACTGATACAGATTAAAATGCGGAAATGGTCCGAAAATTCCCAACCTTTAGCACCATGTTAAAGCGTAAACATTCATTCAGCCAAGCTGAGTTGCAGATATGTATTTTTTCGCTCGGTTTTCCTGATTCATATAGAATAGATAGAATCGATCCATTTCACCTTTACGAGACAATCCGCAGGATACATTAAGACTATTCCGATTCAATGAATAAGTGGACCTTTGGCATTACATAAAGCCGCAGCGGACGCATCTTCTATATAAGACCCCACACTCTATACGGCGTGTCCGTTCGTAATATATTACCGCATTCATAAACCAATAAAAGATAATCGCAGAGTCGTATTTTATGGTCGTACCTATTCAGGCACATTGCGTACGGACACTATTTGGAAATTTCACTCCGCTCACGACTAAATTGCTTTTCCGATTTACAATCGTCCATTCAGGATGGGCTCGCTTCGAAAGTGACATTCGGCAGATCGTCTTCTATATACACGGTGATTTTGAATTGGCGTCATTTATTTGAAGGGTTGTTTAAAAAAACACTTCTAAAGAGTGTTCCAATAAGAACGACGAATTGAAATTTTAAATCAAACATATATTTGTGGCATAAGTTTGCGGCATTTTAGAGATACAGCGTTGAATTTTGTCTTTTAAAGCTTCAATGGTTGTTGGTTTGTTCACATAAACTTGAGACTTAAAAAAAACTTAATAAAAAAGTCCAAAGGCGGTAAATATCATGATATGGGTGGCCAATGCCAATTTCCAAAACGAGAAATAACACGACCAAGAAATGACTCGTGCAGTAATTCAGCAGTTTCTCTGACTGTATGACATGTTGCATTGTTCTGTTGAAACCACATGCTGTTGAGATCC